AAGGGGCTGGGGCTACACTGCCGTCTGCCTCGAGGTACGTGAGCCAAGCAAAATGCCTTTGTGTGCCACACTCTGGCACCTGTGTCGGGGGTTGCCTGCCCCATCCTAGAACTTCTGGGCTGGAAGAGACCCCAAGAAGTCATTTAGTCCAACCCCTGCTCTGCAGCAGGGTCAAATCTACTGCAAGGTACTTTGTTTCAGTGCCTCACTGCCTTTATAGATAGAAGGTTTCCTTAAGAGCCAGCCCACAGTCTCCCTTGTCACAGATGAACCTGGAATTTTCTTGTCTGCCTCCCCAGGAAATGTGAGAAGTCAATTGCCATCCTCTTTATAACAACCTTTTATGTACTGGGAGGAGATTGAGTCCCTACTCAGTTTTCTTTTTTTCAAGATAAAAAAGTCTTTCTTCAGCCTTTCCCGGTAAGCCACATTTGAACCACTGAGATTGGTTATAAGTCCTTGAAGACGGCTGAGCAATGATCATCTTGAGAGTAATGGCCAGGCATAGAAATTAATGGTCTGATGCTTAATATTGCCCACTTTCCCTTTCTCCCTCCCTATGACCATTCAGAAAACCTCACCATATTCAAATCTCTAGACATTCAGACATGAATGGCACGTGCCCCCAGCAGCTGGGGGGGGCACAGCTTCACCAGCAGTGGCGGAAGCCTGGTGGCAGTGAGTAGGGAGCTCCTGCAGACGCTGCTGGCACTGTTGGTAGTGGGGGGGTGGCAACCACTGACAGGCGCCACTGGCAGCAGCCAAGGGCGATCAGGTGCCAGCAGCAAGGTGGTGACCACCTGCAGGCGCCATCGACAGTATCGGTGGTGCCTTTTTGCAGGGGGTGCACCGTCACATGCACCCCCTACTCATCGCCCCTGCCTTCAAACCAGCAGGGTCTCCCTTTCCCATTTTGGCCTTGCTTCTGTATGTGCCATACTGTGTATGTTTTCTACTCTGACCAGAACTGCAGAGTGGATGGGAAGCATGAGCGTCCTTGGCTCTGAGGCTGTGGATTCTGGAGGGCCTGGCCAGTGAGGAATTTGCTTTCTGACCGTACTTCAGCTGCAGGTGCTCGGGAATTGCTACTTTGCAGCCTTGGATGATTCTGAGACTGAACTAACCTCTTCCCTGTGTGTGTTTCTCATTTAGCTTGGATAAGCTGCTGGACTCTGGCCTGTACACTGGGGAGGTGTTGGAGCTTATGGGAGCACCAGGCAGTGGGAAGACACAGGTGAGTCGCCCTGGGTTAGATGGTGCAGTGTATAATGGAGGGGTGCCAAAATTCCTCCTTGTATATAAAGTGTCCTCCATTTACATCCTGTACTGTATGGCACAGTCTGCATCCACAGGTGGGTTCAGACCTTGTTTGTAAATGCATCTTCCCTTTGGTTTGATAGCTTGATTTGTGCTCACTGTGGAAATAGTTACAAAAAATTAAAGATGCATAAATGGCTACAGCGAGACTTGTCCCATCTGTGCCATGGTTCTTCTCCAGTTACTGGCCCTAAGAAGGAGATTCATTAACCTGATCCATCTTGCACCATACCCAGAAGCTGGGGCTCTGAAGAATGAGATGGAGCAAATTCTTGAGCAAAAAGTCTGGCAGCAAAACCATCAATCTTTGATATTTGCATGAAAACTGATAGATGTATGTAGGCTGAAGGTCCCTGCTTATTCCATATGGAGATCAGGCAGTGCGCTTGCTCCTCATCTTGGCTCAGGTGTGCCCTGTTGGGTATTGATGTGTTCTAGTGCCAGACAAGCCTTTCCATTCAGAAGGATGGGGGGATGGACTCATGCTTGTGCTCTTTCCCACCTAGGTGTGTCTCAGCATGGCAGCAAGTGTGTCCCACAGCCTCAAGCAGAATGTCCTGTTTATTGACTCCACAGGCGGGTTCACAGCCTCTCGCCTACTCCAGTTGGTTCAGTCCAGGACAGAGGAGGAGGAAGAGCAGGTGAGAGAAGCTGCAGCGTCAGTGGCCTTCAGTTGCAGGAGCAAAGAACTTAGATACTTGTAAATGGCCGTCCCACTTAGCTATCTGAGCAGTTGCATGCAGTGCCTCTGACAGACCTTCAGGCAATTCCATGCTCCACTCTTTCCTCTTCATGGGTTTGTCCTAGTTTCTTTCAGTGGGTCCACTCTTGGTTCAGTGGGAGTTGTGGGTACTCAGCCCCTTTTAAATACCAGACCACTTATTCAGGCACTTAGCCATAGTTTAGGGTGGGGGGTGCTAATTCTAGCCTACCATGCTTTCAACCTTTGTCTTTTTGTGTCCTGGTTTCCCCATGTCTAAAATGAGGACTGCACTGATGCGTGGGACAAAGGGCTGTGGGTCCTTGACATGAAGGTGATAGATCATTGCAAATGCTCTTATTATTAGGGGCAGGGTGAGTTCACTCGGCTAGTAGATATGCTGGCTGGGAGTGCTGGACCCCAGGTTCTAGTGTATACCCATACATCCTGATTTTAAAGGGTAAGTTGTAGTGAGGGGAAAGCTGTAGGAGACTATGTATTCTGTGTGTGATACTGCTGCTGTCCTCCTTTGCAGGTGGAGGCCTTGCAGCGAATCCAGGTGGCCCACGTGTTTGACATCTATAAGATGCTGGCTGCACTGCAGGAGCTCCGGCACTGCATGTCCCAGCAGGTGGGGCCTTGTCATTTGCATCCTCCCTGTTTACTGCTCTAAAGTCACACTGTAAAGAGCTGAGTGTTGGAAGTGACATTGGATCTGATCCTGCCAATGCATGGAGCTGCTTATATATCACCCTAAAAAATTAGGCAACTGTGGTGTCGACACCT